GATTCGATCCGTCGTCTGAATGCACCATAAAAGGCCACTGACGCTTCAGCATGTCACTGGGTTCAGCGAGCGTTCCATTTTCTTAGTATGCCTGTCAGTCGGTACCAACAATCCTTAGGTGGCCCAAGGAGCTTCGTCGCGCCCTCTGCTCCACTGTCGGGTGCCTATACAAAGAAGTAAAAAGGAATACCTTTCTATCTGACATCATCCTAACGGACCTTTCTGTAATTACTTCTCTTGCAATTTCCCGTTCTGATACTTTGAGTATGATAAATAAACAAATAAATAAGGTTATGTATACAAGGACGGGAAGTTTACACTCGTTTTAAGAACGGTTGTTTCACATTCGAAACGTTGCAGCCGCTATGGTGCTCGGCCGCTGACGGGTTTGATCGTTGGATGCACCAGAAAGAGGACTGTGTACTGTGCGATGCCACTGAACGGTAAACACCCAACAGTCTAAATTTATGGGGGGGAAATACAGCGACATGCCTCATAATCACAAGGATCGTGGTTTTGTCGTGTAACCGCAAGTATTATTCGCAGCAGTGGTGTCATTGTGAACGGGACGACCGACACTTGTCTCATCACACTCCACAAGGGTGTCAAGAAGTGCACAAAGTCCAAACAGACTTGATTGGTTTTGCTGTTGCTCAACTGAAACTTGGTTTCAAAAGCTTCTAAACATACCGAGAAGCTACCATGAAGAAGTGTCGTGGTACAGGAGTTAGCACTGCCAAAGCATACCCCAAACAACAGCTGCCCCATCACAAAGAGCTCGTGCGTGTGCTCTCAGAATACGTGCGTGATGAACGCACGAGCGCGAACAAAGCAGTAAACCATGCATCCTTCCTCCCTTCAGTAAAAGCACGCTGTTGAGGCAAGCGCCACCCTTTGGTTTGCATCTCAATACAATGTTCGTTCGGTTCGCCTGCACCACGTGAACCAGTTCACGAAGTGCTGCACTTTGCCATTCGTTATATCAGTGCAGCATTGACGACATTTGAACCTTGTCAATCGTGTCAAAAGGTGCAGAAAGAGGTGTTGGACTGGTTCATAATTTTTCCGCACCCTTACGCTTACTGTGCCGGCTTGGTGCATCCATGCAGGCAGCTGAGCAGACGACGCAGCATTTAGGCGTGGGCGCCGTACCCGCTTCTGCTAGCGTGGTGTGTTTTTCCAAAATGTTTGCGCTTCATAAACTGTCCGCATGTGTGGTTATCCATCGATCAGTGTTAGTTTAATGGTGTAAATTAAGCGAACAGAAATAAGCCCTGCACTTTGTCGGTACATTGTCATTCTTTTCGGGTGTTGCGCTGTGCCTGCACCGCTGAACGCTTGCTGCACAAGGTCTATTCGATTCACTCTGTACTTCCACAACTAGTTCGTGGTGGTTCCGTTTGGGTGTTGTCTTCATGCTGGTGACATTTCAGCAACTGCAGCAGCGACGAGACTCGAAAGCGAATACGAATGTGCAGATGTAGTGCAGGCCCTATGCTACTCGTCGGATGCGTCGAGAGTTGTGGAGGCTATGATTCGTAAAAGACGGCGCAGCTCACGTTGCTTTGGATGCGTCTACTGAAAAATGTTCACTGTCGTACTTGTACGTCGCTAAAACATACACGAATGCAATCGGCTGTGTCGTATGCAGCAGCTGCATCCATCTTGTGCTGCACGGACTCAGCACTACCACAGAACACCTTCCTCACGAGCAAGAAGGTGCAGAAAATTTGTGAACTAGCCTTGCCATCTGCACTTTTTTCAAACAAATACGGCGGTAAGGGGCTTTAATCTCAACGCTATGCCAGCGCCACTTCTCGCAACTGCGACAAAACCTGGTCGTCTAACAAGTTTGCAAACGACGGCACGAAAAAACACGGCCTTTGTGATTTGGATTCAAAGTTTGAGAGCTTTAGGAATTTGAAAAAGGCAGATCTTATAGCATATGTTAATCGGGTGATCATCTAGTAATTTTATAATTTGTAAGCTCGCAAATGACTTCTATTGCACTTTCAATTAATGCTAAGTTTTTGTTGTCGCCTCCACGACGTGCTGTCGCCAAAGAAAACCCTTGAGTGTCACGGAACACGTCTTTGTTGACGACAGATTTTCACTAGTTATAGTGCTACTTTTAAAACTTTCCAGAAAATTGTAGCGACTGTAGTTTCGCCAGAGTGACCTGGCGCCAGAGTGACCTCTAACTTCGCTTCACTTATGACCATTCCATCTTCATTTTGTTAACGTAGCCAGGCTATAGCCAAGCCAACGCCTCCTCTAGGAAGATGCCTGCCGCATGAGAAAAAAACAGCTGCCACATCCTTTCTCTCCTTTATTTTGAAAATGATCTCGGTCGCTAGCGTCACTTGTGGCGGACGGTGCAACAACGCAACACTTTGCATAGCCTCCAAAACAGCGACGCACAGTTGCAGATCTTGAACAACTCTCGACTTACGCGTCCCTATGGGCCGCAGTTGGAGAACACCTAACTGGTAGTGGCACCGCCCGTCGCCGTGATAATGGATAGATGGATGGATGAATATGGTTGTACCCTTTAGATCGGGCGGTGGCTGGCGCCACTAAGCCATAATACCTAATGAACCAAAAACTATATTTATTTTTTTCCTTAAAAAGTGAGTTTGAGGATTCGTACTTTGCAGTGAAGAGTTTAATTTTCACTCGTGCCTTGACTTTTAGCCACCAATCAGATAACCTTCTTCTAGTTAAGTCTACCCGCTTAAAGTTTATTTTGCCCTCCCGGTCCCTAAACCCCAGTGCTTTGAAAAACTCTGCGCCATCATCCTGAACTATAGGGTGAAGCCCTTTACAGAACATTATCAAGTGTTCGGCAGTTTCTTCTTCCTCTCCACACGCACTGCATACTGTGTCTACCACTTCGTATTTGGCCCGATATGTCTTGGTTCGCAGTACTCCCGTCCTGGCCTCAAACAGTAGAGAACTAACCCGAGTATTATCATAGATCCTTTCCTTGGCAATTTCCTGCTTAAAAGTTCGATAGATCTCTAGTGCGGACTTCTTAATCATGCCCATTCTCCACATGTCAGTCTCCGTTTCCTTCACCTTCTTCTTAACCGATAGTTCTTTTTGGTTTGACCACCTGCTGTTTTTCTAAGTATTTACCAGTCAACTTCCTGGTTCGCTTCCTTCATTTTGTATCGACATTCTTCATGTGCAAGTAGCTGAAAACCTTCCTAGCCCAACGCTCTTCCCCCATTTCTCTCAATCGCTTCTCAAATTTTATCTTGCTGCTAGCTTCCCTGCCCTCAAAGGATGTCCATCTCATATCACCTTGTACTCCCTGATTTGGTGTATTCCCGTGAGCTCCTAAAGCAAGCCTACCTATTCCAGGTTGCTTAATTTCTAATCTTGCTTGAACTTCTGATCTCATGCACAAGGCCGCATTGCCGAACGTCAGCCCAGGAACCATCACCCCTTTCCATATTCCTCTCACAACATCATACCTATTGTAATTCCACAGTGCCCTATTTTTCATGACTGCTGCATTCCTGTTACCTTTAGTCGTCACGTATATTTCGTGTTCCCTCAGATACTCGGTCCCATTGCTTATCCATACGCCCAGATATTTGTATTTATCTGTTATCTCTGGCGTGACCTCCTGTATTCTAAACTCACTACCTTCGTTGTCATTGAAAATTATGACTGCTGATGAATCTGATGAATCATGACTGCTGATGATGATCACTTACTGAATCTAAAATCTAACCTGTCTCCCTCATTACCGCAGATGTCCATCAATCTCTGCAAATCTTGCTTGTGGTTGGCCATTAGCACTATATCATCTGCGTACATTAATGCTGGTAGTGCCTGATTAATAAGTTTTTCTTGTTTGACTAAAGAGAGGTTGAAGCCCAGTCCACTTCCCTCTAATTTTGCCTCTAATCCTTGTAGGTACATCATGAATAATAGTGTCGGTCGCGAGCGCCATCGCGCGGAGCTTGTTTAAAACTGAAGGTAGGCCAACTCCGCTGGGAGCGCGAGCCATTCCTCAGGCATCTTTCTAGAGGAGGCGTTGGCCAAGCGTAGCCTAGCCATTAAAGCCAATCACGTTTCACGGAGGTACAAAACTTGACGAATCAAACTCACTGTAGCTGGTCACGTGGTATACTGGAACGATATTTAAAATTAACGTATTCGCCGCTTCCAGGTGAGCAGCGCGCATGCACACACTTTCTTTAAAGTGAACTAGAATAGTCAAGTTCACTAAACTTTCTTGCTGGTTGCAGTAGTAGTAGTGTTCGAGGCATCCGCTTTTGCTGAGGAGACGATTGTCTAATTGCGACAATTGCGTTATTAAAGCCACTAGGACAGCGGTAAGCGTCCAAATGTGTCGTCGGTACGTTGTGGTGCTTGTGGAACCGCCTCATGTTGTGTTACCCTGACGGTTCACGTTAACTGTGGTTTTCATAAAGAACGTTCGTCGTTGGGACTACTTACTTCGGTGTTAGCTGGAAATGGCGTTTTCGTTCAGCTGGCCATTTCCAACCGTTTTTAGTGCACGAAGTTGGACGCTTTTGAAAGGAATACAGTGCCTCTCGTCACAAGTTTAACCTAATTATTTCCATTGTTGTTTGCTTGCTTTATTTTACTCGTTGGTATTCCGGCTTACGCGTTTACTTTGCTAGTGCAACTTCGTGTTCCACGCCCGCAAAGTTTGGCGAATGGGCAAAGAACCTTCATCGAAAATGTCTCCGCTTACAATATGCATGTGCAGTGACTGTGATACCTTTCAGCCAGGTGGTGGCACACCAGTGATGTGCACCCCCCCTCCCCCGACAATTTGTTTGCCTGGCATAGAGAGGAGAAATTTACCATTTCAAGGGGGTGCCCTCCCTGAAATCAAGAAGGTGCCCTCCGCGTCGTGTGCCGTCCCCGAAAAAAAAAAAATGTTCTGGCTTCGCGCCTGTTGTCAGCACAGCGATAACTTCTTGCTGACGTTCTTGACATTATACCTTGCAGCTTATACACGGCTGAGCGTCATGGAAAGACAAGCCAGACATTACAAAGATTCGGCAGAGTCTGCGCAGTCTGCCCCGAGCACGGATTTGCCACCAGTGGAGGCCATTTGTAAGCAGTTGGATGACAACCTCGCTGCAAGTGAGTCTTCGTTCGCATTTGCTGCCGAAAGTTCAGTTGCAAGAGCCTCGGACATCTGCTCCTTGCCCTGTTTACCATGTTCGAAGTGTAACAACGAGTGGCGGTGATCACAGGTGGCAGCAACTTGGCAAAAAAAAAAAAAAATGCGTTCGCCGCCTTCTCCCGCCCTGCCTCTTTTCATGAAAAAAGTGAAGAAACCTTGCAATCTATAAGTGGGTATGTGCTTTTTGTTACATAAGGAAGGTGAAACTACAGTTTCCAGTATTGCCAAGTGACAACGTCACTGAATATTCATTCTGCTCCACGGGCCTTTACAATTATCAGTTCTCCTTAGGCAATGAGCTTTCAGGATGTAGTATATTATCTAGCTTGGCGGAGTCATGAATATCAAAGAGGCCCAGTCTTTTACAATTTTAGAACCAGCACATCACTGCAGCACTTTGCACCGTGACTTTGTCGTAAACGTGGGCATAAGTTTCAATGCTTGTTTGTGGCAGACAATTGAGTAGCATTCTCTAAATGTCATGTTGCATGAACAACCTGCAGACACTGCAGATGAGACATGGAAGTTTTTAGATGAGATGGTGGGATAGTTCAGGTGGAAACAAGCACCGTTTCAGTTTACTTTTATCATGTGTATATGCAACAATGATGAGGATGCTCCAGGCCAATGTTTTAAGCTACACAGTCACTGACACCACAGTCTCCGAACATTGCAGAGTACATGAACAGGACAGTCTTTAGTCTAAGGGCAATCGGCTGTTGTGCTATAGGCGGGGCCTTTCCTGCCTTCATTATTTGTGCCTCGCTATATTGCTATGTTCAGCTGATAATTTACTGTGCAACCTTAGGCAATAAACCTTGGGTCTTTAGAGCTTCCTTCACTTCCTATGGCATAAATGATGCAGCTTTACTGAAAGGAAGCTGTTGTAGCCTGTCCTGCACCTGGATCTGGTTTATGAAGCCTTGTCTCTGTGCCACTGCTAAATACCAGATGAACATGTTGCGAGTTCCGGCACTGTTGTAAGTCTGATAAGAAAAATCGCGCAATCGTCTGACCCTTTTTCTTTGTCAAGTTTGTTTTTTTGTTATTCATTTGTCAGTTCAGCATGAGCAGAATATCGATGCCTTTACGTTAAGAACGTTCCTTTTTAGACCTAGATTTTGTGCTTGGATTGGCAAATAGAACCCACCATCTGCACAAAATGCAACCAAGAAAGTTTACAATTTGGTGTAAACTGGGTCGTGCTTTGACAAGGGCATTTGAATGCTTGGGTAGGGTGTTTGATATGGAGCTGGTGTATAATAAAATCAGTGCCGTTTCTGGCAAGTTAGTTCCCTTTTGCTTGCTGCAATGTGCAAGTGAAAGAGGATACAGAATTGCCATGAATTCCAGTGGTCAAGACACAATGGGAGCAATTACTACTTGTGAATAAAGCTTACTGGCACTTTTTACCATCAACTGGTCTACTCTGCATCGCATGCCGCTTAGCCTCTAATATTCAAGCTGTTGCCATTTTTGCGTTTAACTCGGCATCAATTGCGTGGGGTCTTTATTGCGTGGCTACATTTTCTTAATTTCAATTCGGACAGTTTAGCACAGACCTCATTCTGGCAAATCAGTGTTGAAATGTGTGTACGCATGGAAGGAATTGCATTGACAGAGAGCCTCAAACAATCGCTCATAAATTTTTCTTCTTTTACTCTTCCTCTCTCCACTAATAGCGGCTCTGGCGGGTTCCAGTTCTGTGGAAGTGCACGCCACCCTGTGGCCGCTACAAAAGCAAAGGCAGCTCATTTCACTCTTTTAAACTGATTATGTGTACACAAGTTTAGGCTTTTGGCCTGGAAAAACCAAAGCCCTTTTAGTTTTTTTTTTCTTTTTTAATGTGCATAGTCAATAGCTGATTATGTGTCGGCATTAGTTAATTTTCTGGTTTGGGGGAGCTTAATGTTTCCCATTTCGCTCGCAAGAGTTCCGTCAGCCAGCATAAAGAAGCAGCATGAACGAAAACCGAGTGCCTATATTGTTGTCGAGGCTCGGCTCTAAATTCGGCTAGTCCGCTGACTTGCTTTCACTTCATACGTCTATCTTGCGGAACACATTCTGAGAGAAATAGGATGCTTTGCAAGGCATTTTGTTTACCACTTGTAGAAAACGGCTCAGTGAGGGTCAATACTCTTTCCTCTGATACATATGCTTTTATCTCTCTTTATTCGCTTACAGAAAATGCTTGTTTCTGAATGCACTTTCTTTTTCAGTTTTTTATAGAACCGCGAGGTATGCAGGTTATGCGATGCACGACAATGTCTTTTGCAGCAAGTGCGACGACTGGATCAGGATGGTTCAATAATCTATTTGAGGAAGGACAACTTGTTCTCGAGGCAAACGAAGTGTACTCTGAATTTTTGCATATGGTGGAAACCTTTATTTTCAGGTGCTGCGCTGAAGGTCTACCTGCGCATCAGGCCTCGAATTGGGGGCCGTGCGTTCACAGACCCTGCATTTCGGCCTCTCGATGACAAAACTGTAGAGTCGACCACGGCTACTCTGGAACACAAACATCAAAAGCGATTTAGCTTTACAAAGGTGAGTTTCAGAGCCAGTGTTAACAGTGTGCAATGTCATTTTGTATGTTATGAAGTGGCAGGTCTAGGAAACTGCCTATTTTGGGAGACAGTCTTCCAAGTGGTTATTCCAAGTCTGGGAACTTGAATGCAAATTCAAACTATTGTAGCAAAACTTCGAAGTTGTTCAGGTAAAGTGCATCTGAAGGCCACGAGACGAATAAGTGTGGGAGCAATACTCCACAGGCAAGCCATAAGTCGTCGACAGACTCGACACGATGATTTAGAGGAGCACTCATTGGGGGTTCATTTATCTATAGCACAGCTGTGTCGCCATTTGTCAACGCTGTGTCGCTATTTGTCGCCAGCGGACTCCGCTGGCGACAAAAAGACCCTGTGTTGCTGCTTGAATGGGATTTTGCAGCATCCACGGGTACATGGACCGCGTCGAAAACCACCGTTTTCTACCAATTGGAAGATGGCTTATACAGACGAATCGGGCAAGCCGAAAATAATCAATCTCGACACCAGTTTACATGGTCCCATGAATCCTGCCTCTCAACAAAACTGCAGTACTTTCTAGAAACGGCACATTCTCAAAAACAACCTCGACGGGCAAACAGGAGCTTAAGTTTCAGCTTGTCCCGAAGGCCTAAGCGATGGCTCGCTTGTTAAGGGCGCGGGGACACAATGACCGATCGAATGCAGCTTTTCCTCTTTGACTTGCATTCCTGGGCGCTTTCGAAAAAAGTAAAATAACGCCTCTAAAAAGCACATTTGACAAAGAAGGAACTCCAGCTCTAGTCATAGAAAAAAAACTTTCTGCATGACATTGCCTTTGCGACACTATTGTGGTCAGAGACAGTGGCGTAAATCCAAAAGAATGTTCAGGCGCAAGACACGTCTGGCCTTGATGACTATTTGTATGTTTAAATGTTTTATTTCCCATCATACAAAAATTCTTCAAAAACAAGATTTTAAACGAGCATGGGTTGACACCTCGTGCATTAGCATTGTGCTATTGGGTCTTGTCAAAAACTGTTCGAACAGCAGTTGAAATATCTATTCAGGGCTACACAGTCCCTCGAAAGGTTGTTGCTCCAAGCCGCTTCCACGAATAAGTGGGTGTCCACTGTTCTTCATTCTGTCCAGGTGTTTCCCGAAGGCAGCTCCCAGGAGCAGCTGTTTCAAGAGGCAGTGCAGGATCCTGTGGATTCCTTCATCAATGGAGCCAATGTGCTGCTCTTTGCATATGGCCCAACTAACGGAGGAAAGACCTACACCATGCAAGGCCCACCCACACAACCAGGAATTGTGCCTCGTACACTTGACAGGCTGTTCAAAGTGCTTGGACCTCAGGTTAGCATTTGCTCGCTTTGTCTTTTCGCGACACTCTACCTTACACTATAGATCAGGGGTTCTCAAGCATGTTGGTGCCAGGGGACCCTTTTAAGCTACATTAACTGCCAAGGACCCACCCCCCCTCGGCGAGCTTTCTTCATTTTTATTTTCAATAAGTTCATAATCAAAATTCGTGCCGCAAAAAAATGTTTGGAGTAAGCTCTGTTCGGCCTTCTTGCTCATGTTGAACGACGCACAATTGTGTCTAAAGGGCTAAGGGTAGAGCGCAGCGCGTGCAGGGTCAACGGTGGTGGTGGTGGGCAAACTAGCAGAGGTGCAGAGCCTAGGCGTAGCGGCATCCACCTTGAAATAGCAGAAGTGCACAGGGTAATAATGTAAAGCCCCCCCCCGTGATTGAAGGCGCCACGCCTTCCATTTTCAGTCTGGCTAGATACAGACTGCTGGTGCTATTTATAATGCAGCTCGTGCATTTTTGTTACGCACTGAGATGTGCTTAATGCCTGGGCATGATTGATGGAGGTTCCCTAGATCAATCACTCTTCGTTAATCGTCGTCTAAGTGAGTTGAGTGGGAGTGTGTGGAACCAAGAAAAATATATCGGTGGCTTGCGGAACCCCTAGGAGAGGCTTGCATAGACTGACCACCGGCCGAAACATGTCTCAAGACACTGGCAGAAGTGGAATGGCTGTGAATTAATATAGCTAAACTTGGCATTCAGATTGCCAAACAAAGCTAAACAAAGTCTTTCAGATTGCCATGTGCAGTCTGCTGTTTAGGCACACCATAACTTATGGTTAAATTTAGTGATTATATTATTATTCATTCCTGCTTTATTCAGAGTTTATATTGAAATAAAAGGAGCAGATAATAGAATCAGTGCTGCCTTTATGGCAACTGACACCACGTCAAGTGACTGCATATGCATGCGATGTGCACACATGCACAAAAAACTGCAGTTTACCAACTCAAACCACTATAGTGCATGCCTACCACTGTTTACAGCATGTGTTGTGTGTACTTCATTGGCTCTGCAGATGAAAGAGTTGGGAGGTTTCACAGCCTTTTCGATGTATTTGCTCCCTTACCAGTACTAGTATTGCACGAAAGAATATGGTGTACTGAATGTGAATGACAGCTGCTTCTCTGTTGGAAAAGAGGACGGCTACGGTCGGGGGCTGTGGTTGTTGCTAGCGCTTTTTTCTAACCAGACCTGCCTTACAAAGGGCCTTGCACAAAGCAACTGATAAACCTACTCGACGTATAAAATGCCTGTTTCAACGGGTAGATATGATGAAAATTGTTTGTCAAGCAAGTGGTGTTGACGATGTTTCAGGTAACTTGCCAAAACGTCTCTGGCCGTACCCCTTCTTTCACCACAGCCTACCCTGTCCTAAGCCGGCCTTAGTTGGCAGCCACCATTGCAGGCTGACCATAATACCAGTCTCATCATTGGCCTTGCCCCGCCGCGGTGGTCTAGTGGCTAAGGTACTCGGCTGCTTACCCGCATGGCGCGGGTTCGAATCCCGGCTGCGGCGGCTGCATTTCCGATGAAGGCGGAAATGTTGTAGGCCCGTGTGCTCAGATTTGGGTGCACGTTAAAGAACCCCAGGTGGTCGAAATTTCCGGAGCCCTCCACTACGGCGTCTCTCATAATCATGAAGTGGTTTTGGGACGTTAAACCCCACATATCAATCAATCAATCAATCAATCATCATTGGCCTTCAAGGTTTCTATTAGTTGCATGACACTAGCTTTTCGTCACTTTTGCCATCTGCTACTTCGTAGCACCATTTCTTGGCCCTTGCGCTATAAAACACCACATATCTCCACGATCATTGCTACTTAGATTACCCGTCACAGCAGCTGCAGGACAGTCTTTATCAGTGAATTTGCACTAACTAGTTTCAATTTCAACCTTGTCGCAAAACCCTGCTGCACAGTCACCATAGCAACTACTAAGAGTGTGCTGCTGCGCTCGCTCAGTAATGACCGAGACTTGACCAAGCATAGTTTGTACTGCCAAACAAGAGGCCGTGCTTTCAGAAGCAAGGCTTGCGCCAAGCTGACCCTTATACGTAGCCAGAATGGTTGGGAACAAGATTTTTGTTCCATCAGCTTCGCTGTCTCTCTAGCATTGGGCATCCAGTGAAACCTACGATAATTCTTTAGTTCATTCATAATAAAGGCACACCAGAAACACTTACTCTTTAAAAGCCATTCTGTTAAGTTGTTTATAAAATGCTGGTTGCAAGGAATTCCAGGTGGTCAAAATCTGCAGCTCTCTGGTACTGTGTTTTAAATACCTCCTGTTGCATTGTTACACATTCTTCATCGGTCGTTTAACTGGTATAGGGCATTCTAAATGCCTGCTGCATCTTTCTTTTCTGCATTCAGGTGTGCAGGGGGGCACCAGTGCGCCCTGATTGTTTCGACGACGCTGTCCTGCTCAGCGCAGAAGAGGAGGCCTCTGCACTCTTGCAGAAAAACAAGTTGCTGGGTGAGAAGGGAGCCCGCAGTGCTGCAGATTTCAGCACCTTCCATCTGCCTGCAAGTGAAAGTGATAGATCGCTCTTCGCATCGTGCAGCAGTGACTCTAGCTATGATGACAAAGCACAGGTATGTTATATAATGTTGCAGTCTCTATATCATCTCTGCTTGAATCCCGGCCAGTCCTGATTTTAAACAGACTCCCTAAAGTCTGATGACTAAAAATAAGCCTGCATCAAACATAAGCCAAAACAGGAGTAGTACATTTATCGGCTCTCATGTCTAGAACGACGGAGCGTCGTGCACGGAACAGAACGATAGACTTCTGCAGTCGCAAATACTACACCACATTCAAATATGCCACATTTGAGCATGCACATCGCCATTGATGTGCCTGCCTTGCAGTTTCCGCCCTTCTTTATCTTTGCGGCAGTAATGACTCGAACACCATGTAAAATGATGTACGAGCAGTTGGCTGATGTTTGCCGAAATCGCGCGCTTGCCGCCGCCTTTGGAATCGAGGTTCGCAGCTGCTGCTTGAGCGACCCCCCTCCATCACATTTTTCGTGCTCGTTCAAAATGGGTGGTGTGTTTCCTCTCCGGCATTGAACAGCAGGTCTAGCACGTGGTGGGATGCTGTCGCGTGAGTGCACAGGTAATGTTACCTACTGGGGATTTTACGAGGAACAGTTCCAACTGTCTAATAAAACGTGGAATGATTCCTGTCGCAATAAAAAAACTTCCCGCGCCATCGCCTAGCAATGGTGCGATGAGCGCATCTAATTTTTCTTGAGGCTCTCATGTCGGCTCTGGCCCTTCAATGACTGGAACATCAGTTTTGATCCAAAATTGATTCCTAGTCTTATTGGTTTTAAAATTAAGATGACTGTTATTAGCTCATCTCTAGTTTTGAGTTGCTGTTCATTTTTGATGCGGTGTTTTATGACATCTTTCAACATTTCAACAGTTTAACGTTTTTCATTCGTCTGAGGTCTAGTAGCTATTCAAAGCGTCTGTCTTTTCATTGAGTCGCGACGCTTTCAGCTTTGATGTTATAAGGCTTTATATACATGCACATCGTTAAACCCCTTTATAAGAGGCGTGCTCCGGGCAACAATTATTGTCTCTTGTATAAGATGTCTCTTATAAGCACAGTACCACGTATGTATTTTTTTATCAACCCGTGTTTTACTTTAGGCACAATGGTGTCTCTTGTACCTATTTGTCTCTTATATCAGTGCCTTTTATACAGACGTCAATTTGTGTCAAGTCTGGACACTTCATCAGCATTGAATGATTTGTAAAAACCACCTGATTTTCGTTTACCAGAAAGCAGTATTTTATTTAACAATGATGTGTGACCCTAGAAATCTGCTCCAAGACTCCCTTTTTACTGCTCTAAAGGTGCTCCAAAACCGCATTATTCCTGCTCCCTGAGCTGCTCTAAAAGATTGCAGCCCGTTTCCGCCCCTGTATATATGATTTGGTTCAACACTTTACAGGAAAAAGCCAGAGATGTTATTTCGTCAGCCTCTACTACTCTTTCCACTTTAGTGTAAGCCCCACTGATGGGGGCAGACAAGGGCATGCTCCCTTAGTCCGCAGTCTGCCCTACACACATCAGTGTATAAGAACACCTGAAGTTTCAAGTGCTCAAAATCTTCAGTGTGAAATTTTTAGGTCCTTCTGCCCAAATTTCAGGCCTAAAGAAAGCAATAATTTGACGGCCATAACCAGCGTTTTCTTGAGTCAATTCATTAGCGGCTGTAGCAGGGCTTTAAACTCAGCTTTGCCGAAATGCGTTATTGTGATGGGGTGAAGCTTATCGGAAATTTGAAAGGGGCCATTGGTCACTCAGTTGACTGTGGTTGTCATCAGGAAGTTCGAATAATTCAAATAGTCAAATTCTAGCGTGAATATAATCTAATAAAACACAATATTCGCAAAAATATTCCTGAATTTGAGTATTTGCACACTGCTACATTTCAAAAGTTAGATTTTTGACATTGTGTTGCATGCTAGTCAACCTGATCATTTTACAGAAATGAAACCTTTTTGAAGCTGTGCTATCAAAGAGTTTTAGTTTAGCGCGTTCAAGGCGATACGTGCACAAGGCTAGCGCGCAACGTACGTTACAGCTGAAGGCTGCTTCCTACAGTATTAGTTTAGCGTACGCGATAACAGACGCACGGACTGCACCTAAACCTCAACACCTTCGTCTTGGAGTGCTATTGGGTGCCACGTAGTGACTAAGCAATAAACTACATTAGCCAATTATAGTTGACACGAGTCAAAACATGAAACAAGCCAAGATTTCACGAGTAGCTCCGTTTGACTGCGGACATCCTGGGCGTTTAAAGGCATCCCCGTCAGCTCCTGTATTTTCACAGTGATAACTGTCCATTGCACGGGGTCCGCAAACGGATTTAAACTCCTCAGGTTAGCAAGGAGCTCAAAATCGAGGGCGGTTGCAAAATGCACGCAGGATTTACTCGCAACTGTACTGCTGCTTGTGCTGCTGTTGGTCGTGGCCATCTTGGTTTTTGTGCTCTCACCAGGGGAGATCTCGCAAGAGCCACTGGTAAGGTACTCAACGGCTGTAGCGTGCACAAAGTAAGAGCCGAGATCTAGTGTACGCATCTCTCGTGTGCGCAAACACACGCATCACTCTTGCATACAGCTCATGCGCAGCCGTGCTTCCTCGCGGGCGATGCGGGCGCTAGGCCGTTGCGCACGCTAAACTGAAACTCTCTTATAATAAAATAAATCTTGGTAACATTGTATAGTGAAAGCACCATGAAATTCCGGACGTGATCTCTGCATCAAGTTTGAGTTCTGTCCGAATTTGAAAAGGTGCTGTCACACAAGTGAGATTCAAAAGCTTTATTGCCGGAACCACTATAACAAGCATTTACTGCGTGACTTGCATTATGTAAAGGTTGCATTCTGCTGTTTTTTATACATTCAACAGGCATTGCTGTGGCTCTCGTTCTACGAAATCTACAATGAGGGCATCTACGATCTGCTCCTCCCGTCACTTGAGGCAGCATCCAAGAAAAATGGTGGCCAGCGGCGCATTATTCTGAAGCTCGGTGAAGACCGGGCCAAACGTTCGTTTGTACGGGGGCTCATCGAAGTGCCTGTGCACTCGGCCGATGAAGCGCATCGTCTGCTGTGCCTGGCGCGCAACAACCAGAGCATCGCCGAGACTCAGCTGAATCGCAGCTCAAGCCGCAGCCATTGTGTTTTCACTGTGCGGCTTGTCAGTTCCACTGTGGACAGTCGCAACGGCAGCCAGAACTGGCATGTAAACACGTTGATGCTCTGCGACCTGGCAGGTTCAGAGAGGCCGTCCAAAGCTGGCACCGACGGGTCACGCCTTCGGGAAGCTGGCCGCATCAATACCTCCCTCATGGTTCTCAGCCGTTGCCTGGAGGGCCTACGTAACAACAAAGACTCTTCAAAGAATGCTTGTGTGCCTTTCAGAGAAAGCAAGTTGACAAAGGTACAGCTCCTTATGGGTCTAGTACAATGTACCCCAGATTTCATCGTCCATTATTGAAGTGATGTACAGCCGTGACCACGTCTGCGGCATGCGAGCAGCAGCTAGAGTTGCAGCTTGCACTGCAGGGCGACACCTTGACGTAGTTTCGGGCTCTTACTTCGTCAGCCTGATTACGACGTGGTGTGTCAGGAGCATGCATGGTGTAGGAGCCCACGACTTCCTCAAGGCGTCGCCCTGCAGAGCAAACAACGGCTGCTCTCTCATTCTACACAGATGTGGCCGCAGCTGTACTGTTCAACGTCGAGCACTTTTGTTGGTTTTTGCTCTTCAAGCTATGTGTCCATAAGGAGGTACGACCAGTACTGAGCATGGGGCATTGATTTTTTGTTTTTTTCTTGTGTATCCTAAGGCTAGTGCGAAGCATATAGACCTGCATCAGCCACATTGGAATATAAGGGAACATTTCGACATAATTTCTAAAACTTGTAGATTTGTGTCTGAATTCCATGTGTCTAAATTCCAACAGCCGAGCAATATTGACTATGTGCTACGAAAAAATTTTGAGCAAAGTTGCCCTCTGCGCACTAGAGCATGTCCTGCAGCACCTATATAAAGTTATTTCAGTCAATCAATCTCTTCAAATTCAGTTTCATGAAACTAGCATTATCATCATTGATGAGAAGTAATAGTCAAGCAAATAAAGCTATAGGAATATGTACTCTGTATTATAAACTTTTTTTTTCCTTATTAAAGGGCTCTGGAACTGCCCCCAACGCTTTCACTCACTAATAGTAAACATGCTTATCATGTGCACTAGTTGATTTGGGGTAATTGTCAATCGTGTTTTAATTAAAATGGTTCTGAGTGTATTCCTGTCTGGAGAGGGGGCATTGACCAAAGCTTTCAGTTACCGCATGTGTCGCGACTTCACCATTGCTTGATGACAATGGAGTTCTCAAAAAACTAGTCTGTCAAAACTGGTTTCACGTACCACTTTTGTAGTGCTTTAATGAGCTGCTTCACACTTGTACTTCATATTGCAATGTGCATGACACTACATGCAAATTGCAACATGCAACAGGATCGCAACTTGGTTAGCGCAGTTTTTCTTCTCTGGGTTTATGTAGGTGATGCAAGCCTACTTCACAACGGGTGGTCAAGTCTCTCTGATTGTGAACATCTGCCCGTCCATGTCCATGCTGGAGGAATCACTGAATGCGTTGAAGTTCTCAGCTGTTGCCATTGAAGTTGTGCCGCAGCAGCTGGAACTGCGGCACACTCGTTGCAAAGAGGCTGTTCGTCGACTGAGCGAGCGCTGGAGCCGAGCGAGTGGGGCATTTCGTGGCGTTGCAGTTTCGCCTATTCCCGCGGAAGATGCAGCAGCTGGAGGTTTGGATGCAGATGCGGCCGAGGAGCTGTTCGAGACCATCGAGGCACAACAGCGTGACCTGGATGCACTTGAACGCGAGCTGGACGACACCCGGCGCCAACTCGCGTGCGTATTCACCTGATTCTGTGGCAGCTTCTTATCGCTTCAGCCATTGCTGCTGATCATTGATTCTACACAGTCCTAGCAACAATAATTGACTAAGCTATAGGTCTGTTAGTGAAGTAATGAGATTGGGCTTGGTAAAAAAAAAATTATCGTTCCGATGCCTACATATTCATTTCTTCAAAATATAGTTTCTTCTGGAGGCGATACCCTGCTTCCAACGCAACTCTCACACTGCAAAGGCTACCTGAAAAGCTGGTACTGAGACCCAGTCTCCTGACTTAGGACAGACCCTGCATATTCTCGCATTAATGGCTTTTCTGGGAAGCTGTATCTGTTTTAAGCTCCGTTTCTATAGATGCAGTCACCTTTGCACTTACTGATGCTTGATAATTGCAGGTATTCAGATTCCCTATGTGCAAGGCAGTTTCGGGACTTGTAAAACAAGCTTGCAATTATAAACTGAATGAACATGTGTAGCACAAAAAAGCAAAACTTCATTTTGCAAGAGATTTCATTGCATCTAGAACAGGGCAACACGGTGTGATTGACACCCTATTCTAAGGCACTCCTTGCCCTCTCAATCTTTCTATCTCTATGGACTGGCCTGAGCTTGCCCCAAAGGGAAAGGCTTCAAGTTACCGTATTTACTCGATTCTACCGCGCCCTAGATTGTAACGCGCACTCGGTTTCCACGACGAAAAAAAAAAAAGTAAGACATCGATTGCAATGCGCACCCATTTTTCTCGTTGGCATGTACGATCGCACTACTCGGGAAAACGACTTCCGTTTAAATATGAGTTACAGGGGAAGCTTGTGCCTATTTTACGCGAGACGGAGCATTGCCGTCACTCTTGTTTTACCGTGGCCCGATGTCAGCATGCGAACTTGCTTCGCCCCCTTCTTCTCGGCGGTTGTGGTGCCAGGCATGTCGAAGTAAAGAGGCGTCTGATCGGCATTCTCGATTTGCCCAAGCAGGTAGTTGTTGTTGTGCCGCAAGTTTAGGACGAACCTCTCAAAACTGTGAAGCTTTTCTTCGTACTCCTTCGGCAAGTTTTGGCCCATGCCCGTTCGCTTTCAAAGGGAAAGTAAAGTTGGTTAGCCAGCACCTGCTCGATTTTGAACTGGCTTCGCGTTAGCCCTTTTTCTAAAGCTAACTGCATAGCCCGCACTTTGAGCAGTTCTGTCGTCACGGGCCGCTGTGCCGTTCGCTGCTCAAGCACATACTCGGCGAGCAGCTCTTCAATTTGCGGAAACCGGCCCTGCTGTGGTCCACTGAAGCCTTTGCGTGAATCTTTGCTGTCGACAATCTTCTGCTTTTGTTTCCGCCAGTCCAGCACGCACGTTTCGGGAACTCCGAACGACCACGATGCGGCCCGATTTCCGTCTGTTTCGGCACACGCGATGACTTTTCTTTTAAAAGCGGCATCGTGGTGCCGCTTTTACACACAGGCAGAAATGGTCGACGCTTCATGCCGAAGCACGTAGGGGACGGCCTTTTTGGAAATGCCGATGGCAATAGAAGGACCGTAATCATTTTTTTTCGCACTTGAGTTTAATGCGCATGCAATTTATGAACTCGCTTAACCGGAAAAAAGGTGCGCGTTAGATTCGAGTAATTACGGTACTATATTTAAACTCTGCAGAAAACTTGCTTGTTGGCCTTTGAGCCTTTCATTCAAGTCTTTAAATTGTAACAGGATGCAAGAATATTATGCACTTCCAGTAACTTCTAAGCACTAGCATTTGAAATAGACAGTAATGCTAGAGACCCGAAGACAATGTTGGTTATTGTTGCAAATTGGTGTTGGAGACGTGTACATGTGCCACGTGAAAGGTACGACCTTAGTTGAGAAACTAGTCATACTAATGTGTCCTTTCTTTCCTTCTTAAATCTGCAGAATCTTGTGGATTCGGTACTACTATATTCAGAGCTTGCCACATAATGCATTTGCATGTACTTTTCATCTATTTTAACTTTGCTGTTACAAAACGTTTCGTACGTTTGACAGTTTGCGTGAAGAGGTTAACAGCACGTGATGCCTGAAACGGTAAACACATGGTCGACATGTGCTCTTAGACATAGAGAGGTGCCAGCGTACAATTATTGCCTATTTATCAGCATATTTACGAGTCTTTCATCAGGAATGATTTTTTTTTTTTTTTCAAGATTGAAGAAAACTTTACAATGCAGTGGTAGCGGTACTTGCTCAGGCAGACTTGGAAGTGGCCATGTTCATTCACCTATTGGGCTGTGCATTTCAAAGGCCTTCTGATTGTCGTGGCGCATTGGTAAAGTCTCTTCCTAACTGCGCACTATTATTTCGCAGCTGGTCGCAGAAGATGGCTGCTGCAAACGAAGCGGAAGTTAACGACTACAAGGAGATGGTGAAGGAATTGGAGAAGTCGCTTCGCACGCAGCGCGACCGTTTTGACCATGAGATTGCTGTTCGTGTTCAGAACGCATGCGAGATCACTCGACTCGAGATGCACCGCAAGGTGATTATGCCTCTTTTTTTGCATAGCTGTTACATCATCCAAATGTCATAACCAACTTGAGTATTCCATAGTCTAGTGCACTGTAGAACTACTGTCATTTTCCTATAGTTGCTAATAGTATACCTAAGCATTAGGCGGTCTTTTTGTTGGATTCAGTTGTTGTCTGCGAGCAACATAGGTATTGACAGTGGAGGTAGCTTTTAAATTGGGGCTTTTGACAATTCTTGTTCTGGAACAATGAAGCACCACCACAACAGCTCTTTGTCAACCCAGCCAACAGAAGCATTTTCATATTGCTATCTCATAAGAAAATGCTTAGGAATTGTCTCCAACTTTTTTTTCTGCAATCACACTTGAAGTATTTGAAAAATATTCTATTAGATTCGAACTGGCACTTCAATATTTGAATTCGCTTTGCACCCAAGATTTTAGTTACTGTAATTAAAAGTAACCCTAAAGTGTCTGTTGGAGCTTCTGAATATTAATTTCAAATGAAGTGCCGGAAGTTCTGGAGCCGTTTCAAAAATAGTTGTCTTCCTACATATCCAAAACGTACTCAAGTAGTGTGCAATTCCTATTGGATTACCTGTCATTGCTATTCAATTCGTATTTGATTTGGTTGTGAAAGTCTCTGTTCGCACACCCTTACGCGATCGACTTTGTGTTCTGCACAGCTGAACCATTGAGATGTTGGCTTGGGCTAGTTGGTAGGTCATGATTATGGTTATACTGAGAACTCTGGACAAGGACAACAGGCACACAAAGATAGTGCTTGTCTTCATCCGATTTTTGTCCTTGTCCTGTGTTAGTGCTGTGACCGTAGTCATTAGGATGTCTATAAATCTAACTGCGTTCTTTCCTGCTTTGTTCAATTGTTTTCATAGGCTGAGCGGGGTTCGCCTATGGAACTTCTTTCACGCCTTGAGGAAGCACAGTGCCAGATTGCCAATCTCAATAAAGAGCTGACTGAGCAGGCCACTGCGCAGGATGACTCGGTGGCTGAAGATTGCAGGCAGGTGTCTCCTTCTCACCGGCAATTTGTAAGGACCTCCATTCGGAGGCTCCTGGGGCAATATGCTGGTTGTTTACCAGGAATGGCCAAGCTTTAGTACTGGTAGATAAGATGCCTCAAAAGCTCGGTGAGAACTCGAGAAGTGTTTGCAAACCACAGTTGATATTCGTAGCCTTCACATTTATGCAGCTGTCGGCAGTTTCGGTTTAGCCGAGCGACAGCAGTTGGGGCTTGAGTGGCAGTTGCTGTCGCCACCAATACATGTGTATTTGTGAAATGCTTAACACCGCTACAACCCTTTGTTGTTGTTTGACACCATGACACCTTGAGGGTGTCATGGTGTCATAGCTGGAAGACAAACGTTTATTGGCATTTGTGTATATGGAGTTTGACATGGAAATTCTGGCAGACTCCTTGTATGCAGTAAATACTCTACGTTAATGGGCAGATTTAGTGTAACAGGATTAATGGAATAGTGACCTTAATAACTGTGGTTTCGGAATTTTGATGTGCAGTACATAGAATTTAGCATATGTCCAGTATTTTTCAGGTCTTTTGTGGCAGTCCTGGTGTGGGTAATGTAGTGCACGTAAAACTTAGGCGGGGGGTTTCAGACTCCTGCTCCAAATTGAATTTGGCATTGATGCTAGTTACCCATAGTCACAGATTGTAAAGCCTCCTACCTGTGCATTTAAATATTACATCTTGTGAAAGATTTGTATTCTTCGCAACATAAACTAGTATTGGAGAAAGATGCTTTTCTTTCTTTCATTTGCTTAGGCACTCAATTTCTGTCCCTTAATTTTTAATCAAGTCAGATTTTCTACAAGACACTTAATCTCTTCTTACAGGGACCAGGTGAAGTGTTTTTGCCATGTTGTTTCTCCAAAACTGTTTAGAACTGGAAAAATAAACCGGTTGAAAGTCTGCACTCATTGGTCTGCACTGTTACAACAATCGTAAACAACTAAATAGTGCAAATTACCACCCATAATAAGGAGGTCTCTTATCAGCAGGGTACCACGTTTCAATATTTAGATACACTCTTGCTTTGATGTAGGCACACTGGCATGTCTTAAACCCACTAACCTGTTCCGTCATTGTCTCTTGTAAAGGGGTTCGATTGTAACAGGTTCTTGTTTGAACTATAACCAGAAAATACAGGGCTCCTTGGATAGTCTGTGTGCTATGCCTGCCTTTCTTTCAGACCTCGACCAATAACAGCCTCGGTGGAAATCCAGACTGAGGACGTCGTCATTGGAAGTTCAACATCCGCCGTGCTGCACGAGCAGGTTTTACTCTCCAAAGCGGAAAGTGAGCTGCATAACCTTCGTAGCCGCCTTGAAGAGGCTCAATCTCTCCTGAACAGTGAGCGGCAGGCTCGGAAGGAAGCTGAGGTTTCGGCCAAACAAGCCCTCGAGCAGCACGGCGACGTCCAACAAAGACTCTCTATCCAAGAGGTTCAGCAACAGGTCTTAGAACAGCGTTTAGAAGAGCTGCAACAAGCTAATGACGTCATGCAGAAGAATGCGGCCGAGTCTAGCTGCGAGCTCGAGCAAATGCGCCATGATATGCGGGAGCGTGAACTTGCTCTAGATGTGCTTAGAGAGCAGCTCGACAATATGGCAGAGGCATTGCGTGAGGCTGAGAACAAGGCCAGAGAAGAGGCCAAGCACAGAGTTTCTGCGGAAGAGCGTTGCAAGGCTGCTGTCGAGGAAGCTGTGGAGGTCCGCAGGTTAGCTTGCAACACAGAAGAGTCTCTGCACAGTGCAGAGTTGCGCCTAAAGGCAGCGCATGAGGAGCTCCAGATCTGCCAGGAGAAGCTTGTGGCAAGGTGAGGTCTCGTTAATTGTTCATGTACCCTCTTATTTCTTCCTGACCATAGTAAAAGTACCGTATTTACTCGAATCTAGGCCAACCCCCGATTCTGAGCAGACGCCCAAAAATCCGAAGCCTGAGAAAACAAAAAAAGTACCTCGAATGTAGGCCGAACAAAACAGCGAGGACAGCGTTCACAAAGAGAAAACATTTATTGAACAAAGCAGTTGGTTCATTATGCAATTATCACGAGAAACATACAGCCGCTAGTTTTGTTGTGTGTGCTTCTTTGTCGGTTTTTTTTTTTTTCGCACTGCTTCTAATTATTTGCATCGTAAAAATGCGGTGCTCATTCTGAGTCGTTGCTGACTTCTTTGTCACTGTCTTCAAACAGTGCACGATCCTCGGTGCCATTAAGTGCATTGGATATGCAGCACTTCTTAAAAGAGCGCACAATCAAAGTTTCCAAGATGTTTTCCCACGCTGCAGCCCCTCCAGCAACACTCAGTTTTTTCGTTGACTCCAAAGTCTCACCCTGCTGGAACGTTGGACGACCACTCCGTGGCTAGGACAACTTTCCTTTTATAAGCAACACTATAATGACACCACCTGTTTGGTGCCATTGAGTTATGCTGCGCACAGACCACTCTAAGCGCGACTCAAGATGACATATGACTCTCCTCAACACTCGCCACAATGATCAAAATGGCAGCCTCACGTGTGTACTTAAGCCAGGTGTTGGCTCAGCCACTAACGGCTACAGTACAGTCTAGGTGGCGCAAGTTGTGCACCACTTTTGTCAATGAAAATTGCACGTTTTTCGAAATTCTTAAATCTAAGCCGACCCTGGAGTTTGATACAAAGAAATGTGAAAACAAAAAAGTAATATCGGCCTAGATTCAAATAAATACAGCAATACATAATGAAGTTGCATCTCGCACAAAAATAAATTCGTCATAAGGGTATATTCTTACCACACTATTTATTGCAAGACCATTTTTCATTTACTTCATTATAACCGACATTTCGTTATATCCAAGTTTGTTATATCAGCCCTTCAATGCTTTCTGGTCATAACACACTTCTTTCACGCTATGGGGAAAGCTTGCTATCCGCTGCAGCACTAGGAGCGCATAGGGGGAATTGGGGAGAGCTTCGCTGCGCAGAGAGAGCTGGGGGCCCGAGAAATGCAGCAGCATTGGTGTTCGGTTTTCCTTGTTTTTCTGCATTTGTGCGACTACCAACTATGCTAATTGTAGGCAAGGACACGAATGGTGTACGAGTGTAACGATGCCCAAGGTATGCTGTGTACTATGGGTTTTCGCTCGGACTACTAATGTACAAGCTCAGACAATTGATGCACGAGTGAAAAGGTGCCGTTTAGGTTGCCTAGGGATGGCCATGGGAATGTGCAATACCGGGACAAGAAGGTTTCGAATTTACCTTTGATTCTATACATGCATTAGTGTATGCGAGAAAGATTTTGACGCCACCGACGTTATTTAAACAGACTTCATATTGAATGAAGGAAAATGTATCTAATGAGAAGACAAGTTGCTGTCCGGAGCTCTTTTTCGCAGCTTGCTCTATTTTTTTTTTAAGTTTTTGCCAGTTTATTAGATGCTTTGCATTCTTTTTATTGTGTGAAGTTGTTAAAAAGACTGTTCTTTTTTCTATTTACATTGATTGAAAAGGATAATAGTTGGGGTTTGGTATATGATTATAAGATATGCCATAGTGTAGGGCTCTGGAAATTTCAACCACCCGTGGTTGAACGTGCACCTAAATCTATCTACGCAGGCCTCGGTAATTTTCAACTCCATCGAAAATGAGGTCACCGCGAATGGGGTTCGACCCCCTGACCTGTGGTTCAGCAGCAGATTGACATGTGGGTCAGCAATGTCGGAACTCTATCTAAATATCATGTGTCTGAGTGAATACTCATGCACACCGTGGTGGGACTAGGACGACGCTGGTACAACATATGCAGCGAATATTGCATCTAACACAACTGGATCCATCCAGCCTTGACATCTAAAGAAATATCCGAATATAAATTTTCACACGTGTATTCAACAGCCACATTGTGAGGTGAAGTATGAGTGGTAGTTGAATTATTGTGGTTTGGTGCTAGATAAAGCATTGCCTCGAACAGACCCAGCATTCAGCCTAAAGCAGCGTGCATGCACGGATGCCCCCGCGTCGACGGCCGCGACACTGGCGGCGGCGGCGGCTTCTGTCCCTGTATGAAACTACAGGCAGAGTTTCACGACCAGGAAAGCACTGAGGCACTCTGGTTATATGGAGGTTAGAGGGTATAATTTTGATCTTCTGTATTGCAAACTGGGATAGTGTACATAGTACAGTCTATTGCTGATTTGCTGGACTTTCTGCTGCGATCGCAGGTATGAAATGGCTTGAAGCCAACACTGCTTCCCCATTGATCAGCTTGCAGACCCGAGTCAATCGCAAGTTGAGTTTTGGAATCTCCTACAGCCCTAAACAGATTGTCTTGCCAAAGTGTTACATGCTGGAGCATGTCAAGAAATCTGAGAAGCCGCAGTGCGAGTGCGACAATGCAGTGTCAAAAGGGCACAATAATTGCCTACGACCCTTTTATGATAAGCATCTCTAACTTTGCAGCAGGGCTTTTAAGTTGGCACAATTTTAAGAGTGCTACAAACTTTTAAAGGGAACAATCTAAATAGTATGCTGCGCTGCAGACTTGTTGCTTCTGCAGCTTGCTGTTGCTGCACCAGCGTGTGGCCAGGAACTGAGCGAGCATGACACTCTCCAAGCAAAAATACTTGCTCTCAGTACTTAACGATTGGCTCCGTGTGGCAGGAAATGGTACATTTCAATAAAGTGGCTTCAATTTTCATACACCAGTACCTTATTTGCAATCGCACACAAGCATTGGGGAAGCTGGAAAAGTCTGCTGTCCCTCCACAGTGCTTGTGTTCTCTGTTGTTGTTTCAAAATGCTCCAAAGAGTGTTGAATGTTTTGGAGAGTAGATTGTGACCTCTGCGTCGAGCTTCCATGCATGCAAAGGGTTAAATCTTGCTGGTAGCATTTTACAAAGACTTCCAGAAATGCGAGCTTGGCATTCTTCTCCTCATCAATGGTAAATTTCTTCCTCAAGGGAAACAAAATGAATGACTTGATAGATTGTGCTTGTAAAATGCTAAGCTACCTATGCTGACCAGCGCACCATCTAGCGTTAAAAACTGAAACTGTAAACAAGCTGATGGATACAGTAATCGGTCTGAACTGCTTGATTGTGACAGCTGTTGTTAGTCTTTGGTGGAGAAAAAGTTAAACAACCTCATTAATTTCTGTAAACTGTGGTGCTTTTTTTTTTCCAGTGAGCACTCTCACCAAGCGGCCATGGCTTCTGTTGAAGCGAAGGAGGAAGAAGTGAGCCGCCTGCAGCAGGCCTTGAAGTCTGTTGTTGCGGAGAGTGCGGCAGAGTCTCCCAATGAGAACTGCCAGCACCGCACACGCCGCACAACGCGAACCACCCGGCGTACCACACGAGCCACGCGGTCAAAGGCAGAGTCGCTGGCACCATCGGAGCTATCTGATGGTGATGCCGACTTCAAACCTCCACGCCGCAACCCACGTCACACAAAGAAATCTGTTGTGCCCCCGGATGACCTTTTGGTGAGTAGCTGCCATGCTTTTGTTCATGGGTGGCTTTTGAAGAAAAAAAAAACCAAAACCTAAAATGTCTTCTAAACTTGTGTGACCTAGACTCTTTGCAAGAAAGTTTGTTTCAACTGCATCCTGTTCATGATCAGTTAGCAATCCTGGGAAAGATACAAGACCAGTAGACGAGTGTGTGCCAATATTGTAAAGTTTGATAAGTATAATATAGTAGCAATATTTCATTTGATGCTCTAATTGCATATTAATTAATGAATAAAGTTTGGCTCACTAGAATGTGTTATTGGGCTAGTTCGTTCATACTGAAGAAATATTAAGGATGCAACATACATGGACCAAAAAAAGAAAGTGGACAGGATAGGGCATGTTGAAAGTAGACCTGTGCTAGTGTTAGGCAAAATATGTGTATCAGTGACACGTCGGTCACCCTGCATAAAATACACCCTGAATAGATTTTTTCAACTTTTGCTTTCATGATGTGTCAAGCGTGGAATTCTTCACCCATATCCTGCACAACTAACTGCACGCGTGTATGCATGCATATCAAACGGAGCTCCTTTTCAAGTACTGTTGCAAGTTGACGCCCTATCCTGTCCCCCTCCCCCCTTTTTTCGTCTGTGTCCTTATATTTCATGAAGTAGTATTCAATAATTTTCTGACGTAGCTTGTGTCACCAAAGTATACGATCAAACACGATAAACAAGCGAAAATTTGATAAAATTGACCCTATTTGTTGTGCATGCAATTCTGTGTATTCTACTAGCGATGGCCCTTCCCCCACTACTGAAAACACCCATGTTCAAGGCCTTTCTGATAATGCCCCTAGTCAAGTGCAGTGTCATCATCAGCCTGACTACGCTCACTACAGGACAAAGGCCTTTTCCATGTTCCACCAACCAATGCAGTCTTGTGCTTTCTGCTGCCACTTTATACCTGCGAACTTTTTAATCTCATTAACCTACTTAACTTTTTGTCTCCCCTTCGTGCGTTTGTCTTCTCTGGAAATATAGTCAGTTACCCTTAATGACCAGTCGTTATCCTGCCTACGTGCTACGTGCCCTGCCCAGGTCAATTTCTTCTTCTCTCAGCTCTCTTGTCTATTAAGGTCACACCTGTCATTTTCCTTTCCATCGTTTGCTGCGTCGTCCTCAATTTAAGCTTAACCCTTTTTGTAAGCCTCCAGGCTTCTGCTCAGTAGGTAAGTACTGGCAAGATGCAGCTGTTATATACCTTCCTCTAAAGGGTCAGTGGCAGATTACCATTCATCCATGATTTGAGAGTGCTTGCCGAATGTGATCCGCCCCATCCTTATTTTTCTAGTTATTTCACTCTCAAGGTTCGGCTCTGCGGTTACTACCTGTCTTAAGTAGACATATTCCTTTACAACTTTTAGCGTCTCTCCACCTATTGCAAAGTGCTGTTCTCTTCCGAGCTTTTTGTACATTACTTTCATTTTCTGCAGATTGATTTTAAGAACTACCTTTATGCTTTCCTTGTCTAATTCAGTAATCATGAGTTGCAATTCGTCCCCCGAGGTACTCAGCAATGCAATGTCATCGGCAAAAAGCAGGCTACTAAGGTACTCTCCATTAACTCTTATCTCTAAATCTTCTCATTCTAGGCCTTTGAAAACCTTCTGTAAGCACGCGGTGAATAGCATTGGGGAGATCGTATCGCCTTATCTTACACCCTTCTTTGTTGATATTCTGTCTCTTTTATTATGGAGCACTATGGTGGCTATTTATTCTCTGTAAATTTCTTCCAGGATGTTTATATATATTTTATTGATGCCCCGATTGTGCAGGCGGCACGACTGCTGATATCTCTACTGAATTAAATGCCTTCTCCTAATCTATGAAGGCTATGTTACAGAGTAAAAAAGTTTCAAAACTTGGCACTAAGTCTGTTATATTTAATACTGTGAGAAACTTCTATTTCCTGTTCAGAACTTGCTGTACCAATGTTTTGAATGGTTCGAATCCCATCCTCGTCGCTATTGTAGTGTCTGCAGAGCGACCATGAACAGTCCGAAACATGGACTCAGAAGTCCTTTATTACTCAGGACACCAATTTACAGAGAATCAACAGCCACCATAGTGGCTGTTGATCCTCTGTAAATTTCTTCCAGGATGTTTATATGTTTTATTGATGCCCCGATTCAGTAGGTTGCGTGACTGCTGATATCTCCACTGAATTAAATGCCTTCTCCTAATCTATGAAGGGGGGCTTTGCTCGGTCTCTGATCAAAATTCATAACGGCAGAGTTGAGTTGAGTTGAATAAACTTTATTTGCCCAACGGTTGTTGCTGTGCCCGGGGCTAGGCTGCCAGGGACACATCGTTCGAGGAACATCTTCTGAGGTCCTCGGCGACGGCCCTGGCCCATAACGGCAGAGAAAGAGCCATAAAGAATAAAGAATGCATATCCATGCTTCTAATTAAATGCTTCATTGAATGCACATGCATTCACTGTTTTTATTCGCCTTCGTAGGACTAATAAAAACAATGAATGAAACAGTGAAAATGGCAGGAACAGAACAAGGTGGTGGCGGGGGAGGGAACAGGCGAACATTTCGAATGTCTCAAAAAATGGAGTGTGGAACTTGCTCTGGATTTTACGGCACTCTAAAAGGCTTCTTGCATTCACTTCTTGCTACACAGGAGGAGCAGGAGGAGCACCGCTCTGTCCTCGCCGACGACAATTCCGAAGCGTCGCCACTTAGACGCCTTGGCAACTTTGTAGCTGGCATGCTGTCTATGAGCACGAGTAATGGGTAAGGAATCTTGAATGTTACTTTTGAAGTAGATGTTCTTATTAAGTGCCCTGACAACTGGCCGGAATTCATAGTTAGCTTAAAGAGAAAATGGAAAGACCATGAATTAGTGACTGAACCTGGCATTCTATTCAATACGATCTCAATAGATTTCAATAGAATCTGTATTTTTAAATTGCATTTGGAGCCTAGCGGCAGGTGATCTAGGCGCTAAGGTACTCGGCTGCTGAGCAGCAGGTCACGGGATCGAATCCCGGCTGCGGCGACTTCATTTTCGATGAAGGCAAAAATGCTGTAGGCACGTGTGCTCAGATTTGGGGGCACGTTAAAGAACCCCAGGTGGTCTAATTTTCCGGAGCCCTCCACTATGGCGTTTCTCATAACTAATGGCGGTTTTGGGAAGTTAAACCCCACATATCAATCAATCAATCAAAAATGCATTTAGAACATTCAAACTAGTATGTAGCACTGCTGGTGGACAAGCTTTGGTACAGAGCAAAAGAATTGTTCGCAGTTGTTTTAATCTACATATTATCGGGCATCTCCACTTTATTATGTGTTTGATACAAAGCAGAAGGGAGATCGCACTAAGAAGTGTAGCTACCTTCATGGCAACTAGTGGAACTGGAAATCCTTGTGGAGCTACGGTGCAACGTATTGCAGCGCGCCAACACGAACCTGTCGGAGCACAGGCTTTGATTGATGGGACGTCGCTCGATTCCCACTGTGGGGGTAATCGCTGTCGCGCCCACCTTGCACTGTTATCAGTGCGTGTTTCGTATATATTTGTGGATGACCACTTGCAGTCATCCAAAAGGTTTGTATTACTAGTTGTGTGCATTCGTACCAAAAAAAATGCCAGGCCTGCGCAGGAGGCACAGCACAGTCGCAGCGAAAGCTAGAAGAGCGGCATTTCAGAGCCCTTTAAGAAAACTCATTGGGTAACTACTGCAAGCACACTTGCTTGATATCCACTAGGGCTATTAATAATGAAAATTTTTGGTAGTAGGCCAGGCTATTTTTCGTAATTCTTCTGAAAAGCGTAGTATCCACTAAACACTTGCAAGGAATTTTGTGGCAATCGTTCATGCGGTGGCTGACTGAAGATGAGGAATTATGATTGAAGTGGGTATGCGCCACAGTTAAATTGGGGAACAAGAACCAGCTTTTGTAATGGGTTTGGGACATTGGACGGCCTACTCGTTACCCTATTCGCATTGTGCGATGACTAGTTGTTCTTTCGCTGTTTTATAATGCCTTATAAATCATATTAACGTGACTGCTTTCCCGACATCAAGCCTGCCTAAGGCAAGCTTGCCAACGAGTCACGAGCACCAGCGTAGCTCAGTGGTAGAATACTGGGCTGGCACCCAGCAGACCCGGGTTTCGAGCCCTACTGTGTCATTGGTGCTAGTTTTTTCTAATTTCGTGCAATGTGGTTACGGACACCGGCAGCGGCGGTGGACAACTGCACGTGACCAGAGTAGTGATCTCGTAATAGCTTTCGCTGTAATATATTCTTGAAAAAGACGGAACAGTTTCGGGGTTTCTCTAATGATGTCAACATTAATTATGTCATTTCAAGCACTCCTAGGGCATTTGAGATGCAATTTCTTGTTTAACGCAACTTTGGTTGTCAGTGGGCCTTTAAAAGCTACTTCTTTGGGTACAATCAAAAGCCACTTCTAGGAGTATTGAAGTGCCACAAAAATTCTATTGTGTCTGAGTTGGATAAACACAGTAGAAGGGCGGAAGTGCACCACTGCCGCGACTGCATTGTAGGTGTGAGCAGTGCTCTTTCTCTCCTGGATCCGACTGCAATTAAGACAAGTAGGGAATAATGATCCAACAAATTCTTCCGGGAAAAGCTTTCCCAGTTGGTCAAAGTACTTTATTGCGTTTTCTGAATGTACGAAATGAGCATAAGGTCTGGAATAAATTACAATAAATATTGACGAACAGTTTTTTTTTTTTTTTGGCAGCCAGCATAATGCAAAACTGCAGGACATTCTTTAGTATTTTCAGAGCATGGTATTCCTTGAAACGTGGTTATGCGCACAGTGCCCTATCGATGTGTGCACACGTAACATAGTCTGCATTTCCTTCTTGAAGAAATGAGTTGTGCTGGCAAACATGCAGCATCTTCTCTGCGTGTAGACACCTTGGAGAAATGCAAGCTCGGTGATATCTAGGAGAACAAGAATACCTCACGAGTTTCAGTGATAAACAGGCTAAAAGCAGCGCCAATAAAGATGAAAATCCGCTTCCTACACACCTGCAAGGGAGTGCTGATATCGACCGCATAAAAGCGGACTCTTAAATGACGCTGTTTCCGTGCCCAACGTTGCCCGCCTTTACTGCGCGGTCGCCGACACCAGTAGCAGCAGCAGAACAGGGCAGCGGGAGCTAGGGTAGCAACAATGGCCATTGAACAGTTTTCTGCTATCTCGAAAGCCATTGTTTTGCTTGCTTGTTTCAAGTGGTCCCCACTAGATGGCGCCACCTATTCAGCCTAACCAGCTATAAATTTAGCTTTTCAACCACCAGTGTCAATCTCCATAGTAACACCAAACAGTTTTCTTTTTTTCTATAAATCAAGCAGAAATGAACAAGCAGCATTTTATTATGTCTCTTGGTACACGGAAGCTAGTTTGATAACTAGTAATTCAGCTAGTAAGTCGGCAATGCTTGTAACTATACGCAGTTTCCATTATCTATCTTTGTCTTGTATGTGCTTGAATTCTTATACATTTTTAGTTGACTTATGTTGCCTTCCTGATTTGCGCATCTGATACTTGTTTCTTTATTTTGTCTTTTTTTCTTGTGTGTTATATATGTCGTACCCACCCCCTCTGTAATGCCCTACGGGCCCTGAGGGTATTCTAATAAATAAATAAAAAATAAATTGTAGTCGGATGCTTTCACGCCATCAGGATAATTTCACAAATGCCCCACTAATGGCGCACGTCGTGTGATACTCACTTAATTCCTTGTTAAGTAAGGCACTGCTGTTAATATTGCAGTTTTAGATGTCGTCTTGCATTGAGCTTTCACTCTGACATAAATTGTCATGTGCCTTTAGTGTATCTTTATTTTTTTTTAATCCTAGGCTGTAACCAACTGTTCTGGTAACTGTCGTGCGATTTACTAATGAAACTGGCTCTTTTTTTTTTTTCAGGCTTGTGTGAATATTTGAGTGCTTCAAATAGTTCAATGAATATTTGGGTATGCAAATTCATATAAATTTCAATTTAAATTACTGGAACATTTTAAATATTCGAAATGAACAAATATGTATATTTCTGCATGTCTGCATATAACCCTTTGTAAAGGTGCTTTCATTGCAGTGTAAGTGTGCCATAGTTTGAGACTGCCTATCTAGGGGCAGTCCACGCCGCCACGAAGCCCAATCGAAGTTAAATTGAACATATTACTCTCACATCGATCAATCATCGTTCAAGTTTAGAAGCTTGTAATACCAGCTTATATGCTCCAGTATTAGGTTCTAAAAGGTAACATTTTACAGGTAATCACTTGCATTGCACTGAAAGTCGAATCCTGTTACTAATCAAAGTTTCAACTTCCTTTGACCTAAACAACATGGTGTTTGCACATACCTTCTTTCAATATTTAGTATATATGATGCAGATCAGTTGGGTCGTGACAAATATGACCACATTTTTTATATAGTATGCGATAGATACTATTCGAATTCGATTCAAAATAATCGACCAAATCACTAGTATTCGATTCAGTTTCACTTCAACCCAAAAATTTTATGTTTGCACAGGCCTACTTTTTTCCATTCTGTAAGGCTGCTTGCCTGGTTGCATTATGAGGTGCAGATTCCTTAGCTAGTGTTTTGGTTGTTTGGAGTATCGATAACCAGCAAGAAACATTGCTTATGTGCAGAGTGGCCCCAAGCACACGAAATCGACGCCAGCTGATTTCCGTAGACTCTGACTTCGTTGAGCTACCAGATCAACAGACGCCACCTGCTGCCCGGAGGACAACTTCGCGCAGAAAGGCCAAGGAGTGATTCTGCTGTGCTGTTTTTTAATATTAAGTAATATTTAACTCGTATCATGAGGTGCATGGTAATATACATATTTTATAATATTGCTCCTTTTAAGTTTTGATAATATACATGTATCTTACTATACATGTTCTTAATAGCATTACTTTTAGTCACTTTAAATGAAACATTGCGATGTGTATGTTAATATAGGCGATATTTCATACTTGTAAGATAACAATCTTGCACAGTTTCCACATTAGACGAACCCCGATGGCGGTTTACCATTTCACCCAGCCATGATGATTTTATCACAGATGGTTCATATTGTACAGTAACTTTCATTGTACTTTTAAACATAGTTGAAAAACATATCACTTGATATTCACAACATTCTTTTGCCACCATTATGAACCAGTTTCTCAGTGACATTTACTGCAAGAAAATGCATGCCTGCAAACAAGTGTCATAAAAAATACATGTCCTGGTGCTTTGCGAAATTCTTGATCATTCTTGTTTGCTACTGGAGCATTTCAATACTCCAGCAGTTACAACTTTACATAAGCATGCAGGTGCACTAATTATGGCAACATAAACTTGTTTCTTTTAGCTTCCCCTTTTTTTATTTTGTTGACATTTGCCACTTGCAAGACCTTTTGTGCGAGTGTTTTCATGAGTGTTCTGCAACTGCCTGCGCATGCTACCTGTATCTCACAGTTGCACTATTGCGAGCACAAGTACCTCCAGCGACTTTACGACAGCCATTGCATTGCGATTAGCACTCCCACCTGTGCCACCGTTGTTGTTAATGGTCTTCCTCTGTTCTTGTGTATTTGATATGTTCCAGGAAGTTCTTACCGAAGATTGCGTACACTATTGTCAGTCACCCGGAACTTTTGCAAGTTCTAGCAACTTTGTGGACGAAACGTGCTGTTCTAAGCCCATGAGATTCCATGTCTTAAGCTTGAATAAAGCATGTGAACCTTTTTCTGCGATACAATAGTACATTTATTGTGACGAAACGTTGCGCCTTCAGTGTTTCAATAGCGACTCCTCAGCAAAGGTGTATGCTGAGAACAGGAAGTGCTTGAGCTAGAGATGAACATTTAATCTTGCCAGGTGGCCAAGCAAGACGAATTAAATTTTTTTTCTTTGTGGTTTTTCTGGCATGGTGCCTCCAAACACAAAACTAATAAGTGGAAGGAGATTGCATGGCAGAAACCAAAGGCATAGGATGTTATCTGAAGTACTTAAGGTGTTGGTCTCATTTCAGTAGCATGCACTCTGCATCCTATTGCAAAGCAAAGTTTGCATTCTGCATTTTCCTATGACACCTTGCATTATCATCTAGGCCGAAGCGTTACCTGATGGCGATGAAAACGGTGTGTGCAAAAAACGGCATCTTCGCCGTACTGCATGTAAAACATAACTCTACTGTGTAATGGAAATGAATTTGCTGTGCCTTTAAAGGTGTTTATGAACTGGTATTGCGTAAAAAGCTCTTTGAAATTTTATATAGGCTGCAATGAAATTAGACAGAATAAAAGGTGCTGAATGTTTTTCCTATTGCAGAACAGTATTTGGAATGTTTTTTTGTCTACAGTGAACTTATGGTCTACATGAAAGCCTTTTGCATTTTTATTAACAGTTATTGAGTTAGGGTGTTACTTCAATTCAGTAATTTCTGCATATACTTGCTCACACATTACTGGTGGAGAGATGAAACTATTCAAGCTGGAGCTCTAACATCTTCATAAAATTGAGAGAAGGTTTTGCTGCTTCACTATTGAAGATAAATTTGTCTTATGTTTATTAGTGAATGTGCGGGTGCTTTTTGGTGGGGGCACCATTAAAGAAAATCGCTGTTTTGTGTTGGTTCCGGCAATCATTGCCTCTGGTGCCACTAAACATAATAGAATGAAAGAAATGGATTAGCAGTGCACGCAACAGCTTAATGTTTTTCGTGAACCTCGCATTCATGCTGTCAGGTCGTGCTGCCTTACCAATGTTTAGACTTCAGCATTAAGCGCTTCATTAAAAAAATTTTTTTTGATATTTTGATTTTTATTGTCTACAACAGTGGTTCTCAAATGGGGGTCCGTGGACCCCCATTTGAGAACTACTGTTTTGCAGGTCATAGAATAGCTTCGCGAAAACCTCACTTTTTTTTAAGGGTGACTGTGCCACATATTGATGAACTGTCCAAAATGAAGCAATGTGTAACGTTTATTGATGTTTTCGGCAGCAATAAAAGGCCCCTGTTTCATGCTGCAGTTGTGTTAATCTACCTACGTACCCCCCTTCCTCCCCATGCTGCAAGCGGTCCGCCATCACTTCCACCAGTCCACAAGGGGTCCCAGACACATCTATGGCTGAGAACCACTGGTCTACAACAATAGAAAAAATTAACAGGAGCGATAAAGTATGTGGACAAGCTATTATAAGGAAGTATTTCTTTTAGGCTGGGCTTTAGTGGAATTCTAGTTACTTCAGCCTCTTTGTTCAAATCTGGTGTTTGCCTTTCCTAGGCGGTTCGTTTTCTTTCCACTTCAGGGCCTTCCACAAACCGCGATTCTCTGTTTTGGGACTATTACTTGAGCTTTCTGCATACAAATTGATGGTGTTACGATTCAAGCAATTCTACTGCATGCAGCTGCCAAAAGTATAACCTTTGGAATCTGAAGACCATTCCTTCAGATACCAAAGTTCATTTACCTTGCGAAATAATTGAACTATTTGTCAAATGCGTGTTTGTTGTTATTGGCATGCTCTGTAAATTGGGGCAGTGACGAGGAGACGCCAAGGCAGCTTTTATTTAAGGCGCAGTTTTTTTTTACTTATTTCTCATAAAATTTGAAGGGTGTTTCTTCCAATTTATTTTTCTGAAGGAAGTTCGATGGTTGTCGGAGTTTGTCTCGTGAATCTCCAACACTTTGAAATTTGGTCTTTAAATTTTTATTACAAGTTAATGAAGTGTCTTCTCAATAATTTCATTTCCAAAGAAAATGTATTGCATTGTTGCTAAAATACTGTGTTTCCATCCATTCATTTTTTTACTTGCTGTTCATTTACCTAGTTAATAAAGCTGTTGATTTGCACTGCTGTCAACATTCCTTTGGGGTGAGCAGGCGCTAGTCAAGCTCCTTCCCAGCTTTTTCTCCCACTCTTCCCTTGTCTTGATGAAAAGCAAAGGAATTATAATTCCCAGTACACTGAATCTTATATGAAATGATGTCTCTTTGTGGTAACACGTGAACTCGCGTAGTGTACTTTAGATGTCTTCAAAGTTTGACCGTGCAAACACATATACACACAAGTACGAATAGTTCTCTGTAAAATGCCTACATTTGTTTGTATTGCAGCCTTAAAGGGACACTAAAGAGACTAATGGCTTGGTTTAGATTGACACTGCACTCTTAGAACTCTAATGCTGTATGTTATACTCTCGTAAGTTCACACACATGCACATGATAGGACACTGAAACAAGTTAAAATATCATGGCAAGGTACAGTTTGCTTGCACAAGTTCACACCGTGAAGTGTACTTTGTTTTGATATTAAGGGGACACTAAAGAGAAATTATGACTTGGTTTAAATGGATGATCATATGTTTCACTATCATAAGTTCATCATTAGCCAAGAAAATCAAGGATGGAGTTCTATTATTTAAATGTCACAGCAAAATCTCTGTGCGTGGCATCAAAGACTTCAATATGTATTTTTTCCTAATTTATTTGACATTGGCCCAATGAAATTTTCTGAAACTTCACCTGCTGGGTCTATGGTGCTTATGGATGGCAATGTACTTCATTTTTATCAATTAGAAGCTACATAAAAATGGAAGCCTGAGCGAGTTTGCATGCGATCATCTCTGTTGGACAGTGCAGACGACATTGACACTGTCTGTGTTCTTTTACTTCGTTGTCGTCTTGTGTGCGTTCAATCAGAATGAATTAGAAGCTACGTAGGACCCGATAAACGCCTTTGAAATCTATAACTTCGCAGTGTTTGGTGTGGGAATTTCAAGGTGGGGTGTTCACCCGCATTTTCTTGTTGCGTTTTCTCGCTTACCAAGCATTGTATCGCGGCAAGAGTGGCGTTTGCAGGATTGTGAAATCGTACTTCACTGATAGCGCGAAAAATCGTTTTGCTCTTTGTTGTAAAGCATACTTTACGAGAGTGCTGCCGCAGTTGGAGGTGCGCTTCTTTCGAATGACGATTCTCAACATTGAAAATGCCCTTGGAACGTTGGGAATGCTCTCGTAAAATTGGAGCTTATTGGATAAATCCAAATTGTCAAAAATTTTATCAACAAGCTCTTATGGATAAAAGTTTAAAAATCCAATAAACACAGAGCCCTATTTATAGTTGCAAGTGCTATTTTGCTAAAATGAGGCCAAATTGGCAAATCCTCTGGTGGCGACTCGAGTCCAATATAAGAGGCTGCAACCACCCCTTGGGACAACTGGATATGAAAAGACAGTGAATTCAACATGGTGAAGTTTCATGACGTCTACAGTAGCATCCTGGCACATGCTTAGATCTTTTTCTTTTTTTTCATACAAAGCTATAGTCCTACTATGAGCTGTTAGGCATGCCCATGGGAACTCTAGCCCTGTCACTCTTACTGGCCTTTTTTTATGTCAATAATCACAAGATTTAAGGCTTATTTCAACTGCTCACTACTTACTGTGGTTTGCTCGAGATTTAACCGGTAATCCACTTTGAATACCAGAACCTTTGACACCTGTGAGTCTTGCTAGGAGAGTATCCTTGCATTATATTGCTATGCATATTGAATAATTTCCAGATATTTGCTGCAGCGGACACGTGTCTCGTCATGTTGAAATATTTGCTCAGGTATGTTGTCTTTAGACTGTTAGATTTACCCATGTATTCTAGAACGCCCCTTCACTCAGTGCTCCACCTTCACTTGAGAAAGCTGATGGGAGCACCATCTGTAGGCGGGGCAAGTCACTGCATATCAGTGATAATTTGTTCCTATTCTTGAGTAGGGAAGGGTCATTTTCAGCGGAGCAGTGGTGCAGTGCCCAGCTCTGCCAAGTGAAGGGTGAAAGTAGAGTCTGGGAGCGTTTGTGAATACGGGGGCTATCGGGTAGTCAAGTGCTTATTTTTGTGCACTTAAGTAGCAGGCTAGAGTGCACGATTTCAGGCCGACCTCTCTGCCTTCCTATAGATTATCTTATTTTTCATGCATAAATATCTCCTTTTTATTTCATTTCTTGCTGCCTTTATAAATCTTTGTGGTCTTCTTGCTTCCGTCATTTGCATCCAGTTTATGATCTTTTTAAGTGGCTTTATCTTGTCTACTGGCACACTATTTGAAAGAACAAGTTTTCTTGCCCATTAAATGATGGTTAGACATTTCACCTATCGTTACGTGGTTGGCCAAAATAGCTCCTCGCTGAAACAAGTGCGACCTTGCAAAGATGGCACGTTAGGGAACCCATAGGAGGTATTTATTTAATAATGGTTGCCCCATTTACACTTTTAATGTCTCCTAATTGGTGGTCAGGCTGAATTATTGGTCTTTTTTTGTTTTATGGCCTTTGTATTCAAATAACCAAAGTCACATGATAGCTGTTGTGACGTAGCTTGTTTTTACAAAGCCATATGCACTGCCAGACATACATTTAGACATGACATGTAAGAAACCCAGCTGTATTTCAACAGTAATAAACTTTGCCACCTTTAATTTCAATTTGCTCTGGCACATACAGCCAGTGGGCGCAACATTGTTCTGGTGCAAAAAAGTTCGCAAGCCAGCAGAGAGAGGCTTTCAGGGCTGGCAAAAATGAATTTTATGTCATTTCATGTAATCAATATTTGTCCCAAGTATGTTGGTTGTGTGTATTTGAAGCGTGGCAAAATTGAACATGCACATCAGCAAGCATAAGTCCAACGCTTCACAGAATGTTGTTTACTGGTTTGATTGATGCCTGCCGGGAAGTGCGGGGTGCCATAGGCAGATAATACGGGGGGCTCGGGTCCCTCCCTGGTGCTGTCCTGGGATATTTCTTAAGAGCGTGGCTTAGGCTCCCGTTGTTGCCAACAGACTGTTCGCCATCCTATGTTGTAGCTGTTTCACAGGGGTCTGCACAGGCCAGCTCCTTTTCCTTTCAGGCTTCTAAAATTAGGGTCATGTGCCAGAGGCAAGTAGAAAGTCTGGTGCTGTGGTCACATTGAAAACAAAGTCGCAGGATGAATAAAATTGCACGGCCCTTGTGCAAAATAAGTACGGGATGTATGCATCACGAAAATGAGTGTTATTTCAACATAACAGACACTCGTTTATTGTGCTGACCTAATAAAGGCTGCCTTTCTCTCATGCTATATATATATATATCCTGATGAAGGCCTGACTCTAGGCCGAAACGTCGAAATAAACCACGTTGTGACCGCTCACGGAGGGTCTACTTATATATATATATATATATATATAATATATATATATATATATATATATATATATATATATATATATACATATACATATATAATAAGGGAAAGAAGTGTACATTTAAGGGCTCGTTCTTCCGTGTTTTAACACAATATTAATGAGATCTAACAGACAGTAATGCCAATGAATGTACAGGGGAAGTTATTAGAATCAATGGAATGTAAATAAGAAGAAATAACGCGTTCGATGCTCGAACGCGTTATTGGAAGGTCGTAGGTTTGATTCCTGCTCACGGCTGGTTATTTTTTCATCCACTTTTCTTTCTTCTTATTTACAGTCCATCGATTCTAATAACTTCCCCTGTATATATATATATATATATATATATATATATGAGATATAACAGAGATATAAATTACCAATTGTGAGCAGTTCCTGCTCACAGTTGGTAATTTTTTCATCCACTTTTCTTTCTTCTTATTTACATTCCATTGGTTCTAATAACTTCCCCTGTACATTCCTTGGCATTACTGTCTGTTATATCTCATTAATATTGTGTTAAAAACACGGAAAAACGAGCCCTTAGGTATACACTTCTTTCCCTTATATATATATATATATATATATATATATATATCTTTGTCGAAGGCCTGCC